GCAGAAATACACACGTAAGTTTGTCATTGCCTGCCGAGGGGCGACCGCTATTAAAGAAAATATTTTCTAGTTTTGATGTTACCCGAAACAGGAATCGAACTCATATCCTACGGAGTGGTAGTGCGAAAAATTTACTCTCGTTTTTTTAAGTTTTTGCCTAACGTAAAAATAAACAAATAAAACAGAAATCATGGAGCTGCGATGCTAACAAAGTGCAAATGAAATTTCAAGCACCCGCCGATGCAAAATGTTCACAAATTTCGTTTCCACCACATTTTTATACAAACAGCTTTAGTAGCTCTGGAGAGTAATAAAAACGGAAAGTCAATTTACTTAAAATGTGAGCTCATCTATGTTGTAATCCAGCGGACAATCGATTGCCGTGCAAGTCAATGGGAGGCGGAATTTAAAAAACATCTAATCCAAGTTGTTGAGGCTCGAAAAACCAGTGCGAAAATTGTGTCACTGCCAATAGTTTTTTAGTAGGTACGTGTGTGAGTGCGTCTAATAATGAAAGATCCATACATAAAGATATTGGCGTGCATACATACACACGTACATGTGCTTATATTTTCACATGTATACTAATGCATAAACAAATAAAGACGCGTACATGTCTGAGTGCAGGTATTGAACGACAATTAAGTACAATAAAAAAATATTAATTAATAAACAAAAGCACACAAAAAAAAATGTTATGAAATTATTTACTATGCAGTGAAAACAAACACGATGGACCATAATTTTTTCGTGTTAATTTAATCTTTCGTATTTCATGCGCTAAAAATTTATTGTTAATTCAATTTTAACCTTCAGATTGGCGAGATTGCCTTTTTTATTTGCTGTAAAATATTTTTATGCCAGGTTTAAAATTTTTGGTTGGAACATGAAATAAAAATATTTACATATATGTATATATGTACATATGTATTCACATCAGCAAAAAGCTAAAAATGTGGCTAAGGTGTATGTGTGAAGCGAGTATCAAGTTTTTTAGGAAAATTATTTGTGGTCAGCGATGGTATGAAAGATGTACAAGGGACAGTTAACTACAAGTAAAGTTGCCTGCCATTTTTAAAATAAAAATATTTGCAGCTAGTTTGAATAATCCATGATATTTTAGCAGAGTTGCCACCTATATTTATAATTAAAAGTAATTCAATAAATTTTGAGTGGAAAATATGCAAATGTTTATATTCAACGAAAGTACGCAATATTGAAAATATTAGCATCAAAATCATTTTTGCACAGGGTTGCCATCTATACAAAAAATAAAAATTTATAAAATCAGTATAACTATGTAAATTTGCAATTTTTTTCAATTTGAAATTTCTAAAAAATTTGTGTAAATCATTGGGGTCAACAAATAAATGAAAACAAAAAAATTTATAAAATCAATAATAACTATGTAAATTTGCAATTTTTTAATTTGAAATTTGTAAAAAATTTGTGTAAATCATTGGGGTCAACAAATAAATGAAACGGGTTGAAATTTATGGCCAGAGTTGCCAACTATTTACAAAATTGAAAACTACATTATAACTATGGGAAAAATATATCTTAAAATACTTTACCTGAGCCATTTTGAATAGGGTTGCCATCTATATACATATATGATTAAAATTAGTTGAATAAATTTAGCGTTAAAATTTCCATATGTTTATACTAAGCGAAAGTATACTAAAAAATAAATCGTGGCATAAAGCTCAACAAACTTGTTGAAATAATTATGTATGTATTATTGAAAATAAATATAAAAAAAAACTCTTTATGTATAAGTTGCCACCTATCTGAAAAATAATTTAAAAAATTTGTAGTTATTAAAAAAAAACGTTAATGGTATTAAAATAAAGGTTGGTGTGCAAGCTTTGAGTACGATTTTTTCAAACGGGTTGCCACTACTAAAAAAAAATGTACATGTATAAAAAGGACAATAATGCAAAGAAGAAGAAGCTTATATGTTCACACATATGTAGATATATACATGCATTTATATTTTTTTATTAAAAAAAGTAGCTAAAAAAAATGTATTAGTGTGAAATTTATTTAAACTATTTTGGGTAACTTAAATTTTGAACAGTGTATTTTTATTGAGCTGCCACTTATTTAAAATTTTAATTTTATGTATAAGCTACATAAAAATATTAGTTATGCACATTATTTTCTTGACTAATCAAGCAAAAAGTCATTTTGGAAGTAAGATGTTTTTAAATAGGGTTGCCATATTTTAAATGCAAAATTTTAAAAATGTAAGTCTATTAAAAAATAAGTTCTAAACCATTGATATTGCACTTGTATGTATACTACTCTAATTTATAAAATTTTGCTAATAGAGTTGCCACCCATATTTTTTACTAAAATAACTTAAAATAGCTAATTGTGAAAAACATTTACATATGTATAGGTTTTACGTAGAAAGATTTCTTTTAATTGGAAAGAACTTTTATTTGGGCTGCCACTTATTAAAAAATTTAATTTTGTCAGTAACCTAGATAAAATTTTATAAAATGGGTGCACAGGTTAATCTTGCGAGCAAAAAAACATCAAAGCAATATACATATCACAGAAATAGTTCCTAATGGGGTTGCCAGAAGCATTAAAACAAAAAAATGTACATCAAAAATTGATAATTTACGTACACTCAAAAATTGTTTAAATATATTTTTAACTATTATTAATACATAAATATTCCAGTTTCGAGAATGTCAAGACTATTTCTAGCCTGAGGGAACTGCTGTAAACTATGTAAATCCCAAAAACTATTTTCAATTATTTTATTTTGAATTTACTACTTAAGTAGTATTCATCCATATATCTTTCTAAAATTAGCTTTTGAAACTAATTTGTTTGAAAACTGTTTCCCATACGCTCAGTGTAGTCTATTTAAATTCATTTTATGAACATTTTATTTATGACAGAAATACTGCTTGCCTGCTAATATGAATATTAAAAAAAAGAGTCATTTGCATATCACGCAAAACAATGACAACAAATCAAATAAAAATAAATAAAAGAAAAAAGAAAAACAAAAAACAAAACCAAATTCAAGGGTAACTATCGAAAGTGATGTGAAAAAACACAAACCAAAAGAAAAAAAAAATGCTTCGAAGACGTCAGCTCAGTTTGAAAATGATGCCACACAAACCTCGGCCACCGAAGATGTTTTGAAGGTCATCATTATATAGAAAAGCAGATGCCGTATATGTACATATACAACTTCATACATATCTATAAACCCATGTATAACGAGAGTAAACATTTTAATGTATGTAAATGAATTAGCGTATCGATGTGGTGTAGCTGCTTTTGATTTTCTTGTCTTCTTGTTGTCTTCTCGTTGCTAGACGTACATATACATATATTAGCATTATCGATGCTATGCTTTGTTGTAGTTATTGTTGTATGTTAATTAAGTTCACACATAGACGCACTTATCTATTTTAATCGTTGGCTGCACACTCTGTTGAAAAACTATAAGACAGCTTTTGGAAGAACTAAATTTTTTTATNTTATCGATCTTGTTATCGGTTGTTTTATCAATTTTGTTATTGATTTTTTTATCGATTTTGTTTTCGATTTTGCTATCGATTTTGTTATCGATATTTTTATCGGTTTTGTTGTCGATATTGTTATCGCTTTTGTTATCGATATTTTTTATCGATTTTGTTATCGATTTAGTTATCGATTTTGTTATCAATATTGCTATCAATTTTTTATCGATTTTGTTACCGACTTTGCTATCGATATTATTATCGATTTTAATATCGATGTTTTTGTCGATTTTTCTATCGATATTATTATCGCTTTTTTTATCGCCATTTTTTTCTTAGTGCGAACATTCGTTTATGACTTCGATATGCTCTTCACCTTACCACGTATTCTACGTTTAAATTTAGCGGCTGTATCTCCGATGCAGCCTGCAGACCAAGACGAAGTCGGTTAAAAATAATAGGAAAAAGTTTAAGAAAAAAACAATGATCCATAAATTTTTTTCATGTTAAAATGAATGAACGATATGCTGCATATAATTCTGCCATCTGCCGTTGACGCATTTTCCCTATTTTCTCTGTTTTATGCTGCAACTATGTTGTCGAGTTCGCCACGCGCTAGCCCTGCCTTCACAAGTACACAGGAACTTGTATTTACCGCAAAGCAGCATTTTATATTTTATGTTTTTTTTTGCCATGCGTTTGCAAATATTTGCATTAATTTCTATCTAGTTTGGGGACAATTCTGAATAATCTATTTAAAAATCTACAAATTATGCACGAGCGTCCACTGCATATTTCTCACTTCATACTAAGAATGTAGCTTATTTCGTACATGTATTTTGATTAAACAATTAATTCCAAAAACAAAATACTCTTAACAGCACAGAGATGATACGAGTTATTTGAATTCTTGGTAAGTAGGAAAAAAATGTTAAAACTAACTAGTTTCACCGTCAATCGAGCTAATCAAAATAGTATATATTGTCACCACCGCCCTCAAAATGTCATCATTCGCAATTTGCTAGTCTCAAAAAGCATTATCCTTCGCCACAAACGCGTCAAACTCAAAATCAAACAAAATGAAATTCGTCATTGTTTTTGTTGCTCTCTTCGCTGTCGCCTTTGCCGCCCCAGCTGATTCTGATGCGCAAGTCGTGCGTTTCGACTCCGACGTGAAAGCCGATGGATTCAACTACGCGTAAGTGTTTCAATATCANAATGTTTCTCACTTCATATTAAGAATGTAGCTTTTTTCGTACATGTATTTTGATTAAACAATTAATGCCAAAAACAAAATACTCTTAATAGCACAGAGATGATACGAGTTATTTGAATTCTTGGTAAGTCGAAAAAAATGTTAAAACTAACTAACTAGTTTCACCGTCAATCGAGCTAATCAAAATAGTATATATTGTCACCATCGCCCTCAAAATGTCATCATTCGCAATTTGCTAGTCTCAAAAAGCATTATCCTTCGCCATAAACGCATCAAACTCAAAATCAAACAAAATGAAATTCGTCATTGTTTTTGTTGCTCTCTTCGCTGTCGCCTTTGCCGCCCCAGCTGATTCTGATGCGCAAGTCGTGCGTTTCGACTCCGACGTGAAAGCCGATGGATTCAACTACGCGTAAGTGTTTCAATATCAACCCTTTGTAAAGAGGAACCTTTCTTTACCAAAAAATTTAGAATTACAACGAAACTAATATTTTGCTTATTTTTCTTTGCAGTTATGAGACTAGCAACGGTATCAAGGAAAATGCTGATGCTGTCCTCAACGACGTAGGAAGCGAAACCGAGGCCATTGCTGTCCGTGGCTCATACAGTTTCGTTGGTGATGATGGCGTAACCTACACCGTCAACTACATCGCCGATGNCTTCGACTCCGACGTGAAAGCCGATGGATTCAATTATGCGTAAGTGTTTCAATATCAAGCCTTTGTAAAGAGGAACCTTCTTTACCAAAAAATTTAGAATTACAATGAAACTAATATTTTGCTTATTCTTCTTTGCAGTTATGAGACTAGCAATGGTATCAAGGAAAATGCTGATGCTGTCCTCAACGACGTAGGAAGCGAAACCGAGGCCATTGCTGTCCGTGGCTCATACAGTTTCGTTGGTGATGATGGCGTAACCTACACCGTCAACTACATCGCCGATGAGAACGGCTTCCAACCCCAGGGTGCTCATTTGCCCGTTGCCCCAGTGGCATAAGTTGCTAAGAATTTGACTGCAATCTAAACAATTTTATGTATTTGTTATAATTTTACGAGTCCCAACGGTTTTCTAAAAATCTTGTTATATTTGCAATCGCCTTGTAGTCCTGATACAAGTGAGAGCTATTTTGATTTGTTGTTGTACTTGTTAGAAAAACATGTGCGGCCAGTGTGATCAGCTGTTTGTTCCTAGTTTAAGCAATTAGAAGACAAAGGCAAGAGAGAGAATAAAAAGAGAAAAAAAAACATACATATTTAAAATAACTTTTGTGTTTGTTTACTTATTACGAATAAGCAGAACGCGTTTACTAAGGCCATTTAACTTATTAGTCTGATCAAGGATATTGGCAAAATATGGTTATTTTTATCCCAATTGATAAAACTGGTTAGCTCAGTACTTTTAATATATACTCTTAAGATCTTGTCACAGATTCGACAATGAAATTTTAAAATCAATATACAGTGGCATCAGCTAATTAATTTTGGAAAGCAAAAACTAATAATTAAAAAAAAATAATAATGAATGATACTTTTTTATAAGAAAATAATCGGTACTTCTAGTATTTATTTTTAAAGAAGAGTAAATTAAATAATAAAATCTACAGTTTAGCCTAAAATTTTACAAGAAAATACCGAAAGCTCCCGAAAAAATCTATTGTATTTATATTTCATATAATTCAATTTAATTAGAATTTTCAACCAGATGGCAATCCTGTTCAAATTATTTTTAAACCAAAACCTCGTTAAACCTTTTTCGTCTGACACTAGTACTGTGACACATATTTAAATTATCTAATACTCTTATTTCAATTTGAATTTAATTATAAAATCAAGTGGCAACACTCTTACATGCAGTTTGGAAATAAAGTTTCTTCAAAGCAATTTTAATTTATATCCATATTGGAGTAATTTATTTAGCCTATTGCTTATATTTAATTTAACTTTATAACAAAGTGGAAACCCTCTGCAAAATATTTTCCAACCACAACCTCTTTCGTCTGACATCCATTTCAGGATATACATTTCAATTTTCTGCCTTTATTTAAACCGAACTTGCTTTTTGAAACAGGTGGCAACCCTCTTAGATATAATTAAGAAATAGAGCCTATTCAAACACATTTCAATCGATACTCATTGTGTAATAATTGATTCAACTTAAAAATAATTTAAATTGAATTATTTTATCAGGTGCAACTGTACATCCACAGGCCAAGCGCTTTAATTTGATAACTCTTTTTGTAAAATCGGAGGAACGGTACAGATCTGATATGACGAAAAGGTTTTCGCATATTATGCATTGATACTCTTCTTCTTCTTTTTTGGCGCTGTGACCGCCTAAGCGATTTTGGCCGAGTTCAGCAAAGCACGCCAGTCGTTTCTCCGCTGTGCCAACGGACGCCAATTGGAAACGCCAAGTCCTTCTCCACCTGATCTTTCCATCGCCGTGGGGGCCTCCCTCTTCCTCTGCTACCACCAGCGGGTTCCGAGTTGAATACTTTCAGAGCTGGAGCGTCGGTGTCCATTCGAACGACATGACCAAGCCAGCGGAGCCGCTGTATTTTAATTGATGCATTGATACACTGAGGGGAAAAAATATCAAAATCAATCAGAAACGTAATTGATTTTACTATAAACGTCAACGAAAGTACTCTATATTCGTAAATATTCAATTCAATTACGCGCATATTAAACTGACCTGTGTTCGTTCTGAAAAAGCGTCCGTGAAGTGTAAAATCAATATAAAAACCAAAAAAAAAATATAATATTTACATACTCAGATGTGGACAGTCAAATACCTGCGTAATAAATTTTTGTATGAAAATATAATTATCATACGAACATTTTTAGATTACTAAAAGAAAAACAGATCCACATTAACTGCAATCAACATATGTACATATGTATGTATGAATTTACATACATACACCTACACGCACATACTTTTTGTCTCCTCCTCTCACTTCCAGGGCATGCACGTGTTTGCAAAATGATGACGAAGTGTCTTTGTATGGAAGATCATTTATGCCAATATATTTGAATAAAATAAACATATATAGAAGATATCAACCAATACTTCCCATATACCAAACGAAAGGAAAAAATTTAGATTTTTGACTAAGGAAAACAAAAACAAAAGCATTTGAGCAGTTTTGAGAATTTCGGTAATAAAAAAAATTTGCTAATTTTTTCAACGATTTTTTGCCTCGATATTTATTGAATTTATATAAAATTTGTACACGATAATATTTCTACTGCTCCAAAGGACCTTTATCCCGAAAATAAAAGTTATACATAACTGCAAATCATAAGTTTCTAGAGCACTTTAAAGGCTCAAAATTGACCCCAAAATAAGCTAATATTTACCGTTCTTTCTACGACAGAAACAGAACTGGTTACAACATTTGAGCATAACCTCCATATCGAAACGTAAGACGTATTCAACGTCAAAAAAAGTGTCTCATACTACAACAAAATTATAAAAATATAGTTTTTAACTTTGTGCAGAACACAGGAAAATTCAAAAAATTTTCACTCAAATTTTCAACTTTTTATTCAGATTTTAAGAATTTTTTGTAATCCGTTGAGTTTTAATATAATAAGGCTGGTATGCAGCTCTCAAGAAAACGGTCAAGAAAAAAATTGCCATTATTTCGTGTGTGTGTGTGTCCAAGGAATTTTGACAACTGATACTTCACCAGCCTGATCAACGAGAATTCTTAGTTACTTCCAACTTGCGCTTAGTTTAGAAATTATATTGTTATTTTTTTTGTAGTAGGAACCATATTTTTATACAAAATTTGGGAAAAAAATTAAAATTTGTGCCAATACTTTTTGCCATGAGTGTGCATATTTAAAAGATCGTTCCAGGAATTTTCATTTCTTTAGCAAATACTAATAATCTATTTTCATAATTTGTATTGGAGCTATTAAAATGGATTTAACTATAAATTGTTTAGTGAGAGAAGTCATCCGCAATGGGGTTTTCTTTCTGCTTAGGTGTTTATATTTGCGAAGAGTGAAAATATATGTCTGCGTATTAGTAACCCATTAAAAAGCTATTGAACTTCTTGTTTACTTAGGCTAGTTGCCATCGCTCGTTTTCTACCCGCGTCTTGCAGCAATTGTTTCATTTCAAACGCTCTCCATTCTCAAGCTTCGCGTCGTCGCAGCGTTTCTGTCACCCCATTGGGGTCAAGCAACAACCAAGCTACATATGTTGCCTTCTACCTCACTTGGTATTGTAATGGACGCACACATATTTACATACATACATGCATACAACTTTATGAATGCGTAAATCGTTGCGTTCATTTCCATATTCAAGTTTTTGGCTGATTCTTATTAACCGCTCCAACTAACAACAACTATACGCTAACGTTGACTACCTGATTATTTAATTTTTAGTTAGCCTGTTAGTTTGTTGCTTTGATTGTAAAAAAAAAAAAATCTCAAAAACTATAAAAAATTATAGTGGCAGTAGAAGCGACTGTGCTAGCGCAGGCGTGAAATATTTGCATTTTAGATGAGTAGGAAAAATTAAATTCAACTCGTTTTACTATCGTTTGAGCTATGCCAAACAGTATAAATTGTAACAATCGCCCTCTCCATGTCATCATTCGCAATTTGCNATATACGCTAATGTTGACTACCTGATGAATTAATTTTTAGTTAGCTTGTTAGTTTGTTGCTTTGATTGTAAAAAAAAAAAAATTTCAAAAACTATAAAAAATTATTATAGTGGCAGTAGAAGCGACTGTGCTAGCGCAGGCGTGAAATATTTGCATTTTAGATGAGTAGGAAAAATTAAATTCAACTCGTTTTACTATCGTTTGAGCTATGCCAAACAGTATAAATTGTAACAATCGCCCTCTCCATGTCATCATTCGCAATTTGCTAGTCTCAAAGCGCAACCACAGTTTAAATCAAACAAAATGAAATTCGTTATTGTTTTTGTTGCTCTCTTCGCTGTCGCCTTCGCCGCCCCAGCCGATTCTGATGCGCAAGTCCTGCGTTTCGACTCCGACGTGAAAGCCGATGGATTCAACTACGCGTAAGTTCTTCAATATCAAATCGTTGTAAAGAATCGTGTTTTTTTTTACCAAAAATTTAGAATTACAATGAAACTAATATTTTGCTTATTCTCTTTTGCAGTTATGAGACTAGCAACGGTATTAAGGAAGATGCCTCTGCCGTCCTTAACAATGTCGGAAGCGAAAACGAGGCCATTGCTGTCCGTGGCTCATACAGTTTCGTTGCTGATGATGGCGTAACCTACACCGTCAACTACATCGCCGATGAGAACGGTTTCCAACCTCAGGGCGCTCATTTGCCCGTTGCCCCAGAAGCTTAAGTTGCTTACTAATTAACTAATTTGTTTTTGTTTTAAAAATCCGTACAAATTCCCCAAAACTTTGTTGTCCCCTCCTACCAATCCTGATCCTAGTCGTCNATATTTTTTTTTACCAAAAAAATTTACAATTACAACAAAACTAATATTTTGCTTATTCTCTTTTGCAGTTATGAGACTAGCAACGGTATTAAGGAAGATGCCTCTGCCGTCCTTAACAATGTCGGAAGCGAAAACGAGGCCATTGCTGTCCGTGGCTCATACAGTTTCGTTGCTGATGATGGCGTAACCTACACCGTCAACTACATCGCCGATGAGAACGGTTTCCAACCTCAGGGCGCTCATTTGCCCGTTGCCCCAGAAGCTTAAGTTGCTTACTAATTAACTAATTTGTTTTTGTTTTAAAAATCCGTACAAATTCCCCAAAACTTTGTTGTCCCCTCCTACCAATCCTGATCCTAGTCGTCCTACCTCTAACAACTTCCCTGATTGCTATTAACATGGTGTTGTTATTGTTAAACGGTGTGAGATCAGTGTGATCAGTTGTTAGTCCTTAGTCTAAGCTACCAAAATGAAAAAAATAACAAGAGTAAAGAAAACAGTTGAAAAAAAAAATTTATTTGTGTTTATTGTGTGTGTGCGTGACATTACGAA